TGTTTTGTTTTGTATGTTTTGCTTCGTTTGTTTTGCTTAGTGACTTGTTTTGTGTTGTTGTGTATTTGGTGTTTTGTTTTGTATGTTTTGCTTGGTTTGTTTTGTTAAGTGTCTTGTTTTGTGTGTTTTGTTTACAGGCAAAGCTATACATTTAAAAAGTCACTTTTGATTTCATGTGGACTTTAGACAGTGCAGCTGTTTTGAACTTACTGTAAATAGATATGATAATGTTAATTGTGGGTCCCACTTTATATAAAGTGGCCTTAACTACTAATTACTTGCATCAAAATATAAGTTCAATGTATTACTGTGTATATGAAGTTAGGATGCGGATCAGATTAGCGACAGGTTTGGTTGTACGGGTAGGTTTAAGGGTGGGTTAAGGTGTAAGGGATGGTCAACAGTATAATTATAAATACAGAAATGAAATATATAATTACAGAAATGAATGACCAATATAATTATATGCAGGTATTTAAATAATCTTAAGTGCAGTGTTAAATATTCATTTACACAAGTACATTGTAACAAATGATTAATTTCAGTACATATTTGTTAAGGCCACTTAATATAAAGTGTGACCAATTTATGTAAACATTATTACATTAAAACTACTGCCTTAATACCTGCCTGCTATTAAGATATTGACAGTTTATTAGTACTACTATAGTATAAACTATTTTACATCCCTAATCATACCCAATACCTAAACCTGAACTACAACCTTACTATTTTTGAGCTGCTTAGTAGTCTTAAAAGTCTTAGTGGTTTGTAATTTGCGAGAATTGTACTGTAAAATATGGTGTGACCATTATAAATATAATTATTTCCATAATTTTATATATATCTAGTTTTTGATTTTATGTTATATTAAATCTGATATCTGTGGTTACGTAAATTACCATGGACCAAAATACAAGCCTTCACCCACCCATCCTGACTTACTGACGCAACACACACACACATACACACTTGAAGAGCCATCATCTGCACTTGAAAGCCAAGCCGTGTCCCTTTTGGGTGGGTGTGTGTGTGTTTTTTTCCTCGTCTCTTGTTTTTCTCACTCCAAACTCTAATCTTGCCAGCGATCAAAGGCGATTACAACTCCCCGGAATGAGCATTTTTTAGAGCTTCTAAAGGCGCTTTTCAAAAAACAACTGCTTTCGGGCTCTGCCTTGTTTCTGCACTTCAAGTAAGCCAATGATTGGGACTGCGACAGCCCACACCAACTTTGATCCGCAAAACCGCTCTTTTAGATTTAATATATTCATGTTATTTCTGTCCTAGACCTCCCACTCTCTCCAACTCTCATCATCATTTATATAAGCTGGTGTTTTGGGGAAACAGGGATGCGCTGATTCATTACTCTAACGCTGCTGTCCTGTTTGGCAAGGGTGTTTCTTCACATCTGCTGAACGATTTCACAATATTACTGTATTTTTGTTTATATAAATGCATCTTTAGTGAATGTAGGAAATATACATTTTAAAAATAGATCTTTTTTTAAATGTTTTAAAAGACAACCTTATAATTTATATTAATATACACTTAAGAATGACTTTTGCTGCTTGTTCAAACTACTTATTGCAAATGAGTAAAAACAACACAATTGTTAAGTTTTTTTTAAATGTTAACTTAAATGTTTCAGTTACAATCCACTTAATTTATGAAAATGAATAAGTTAACTTAATTGATTTGTGTTGGGACAACATGAAGAAACCAAGCATGTTTTACAGTGCAGTCTTTTCTTGGAAAGTGAAACTAATACTGATGACTACTACTACTACTGATGATGATGACGGTGATTATTATTAGAATTATTATTATTATTATAAATGGTCTATTAGATTAAATATATTCATGTTATCTAGACCTGCCTAGATCTCCCACTCTCTCCAACTCTCATCATCATGTATATAAGCTGGTGTTTTGGGGAAACAGGGATGCGCTGATTCATTTCTCTCATGCTGCTGTCCTGTTTTGGAGCGGCTGTTTTTCCGCATCTGTGCTGCTTATATTACTGTCCCCTGGACATGTTATTCTTTTATGAGTTTCCCTTGTGCTGGTTTCTAATATTTTCTGTCGTCCTCTTGAGTTGACTGTGGCGATGTGCGCTGCATTATTCTGTAAGAAAAAGCTGGAGTGTTTGAGAGTGTTTACCACCAGCAGCTCAGCTGGATGAAGGCTTGTGTTGAGAACTGACTGATCTGCTGTTTTCTGACTAGGATAGTGGGGAATACAGACAATGTGTCACATGACTTAGATCTCTAAACCTGATTGGTTGGATTTTGAATAGAAATGTTAAGAAACCAACCACAAAAAAATTAAGTCAATAATTTTGTTCATTTATCTTTTATTAAATAAAAATATTAAAGAACCCCAAAAAATGTCAATTAAGCCATTAATTTAGTTAAATAAAATCTAAAACTTTATTTGTTGGGTATTCATGTTCTTGCTTTTGTGAGGCCTTGGGATATAGATTGTCAAAAAAAAAAAAAAAAAGAAATTTAAAACATTGGGTCTTATTTAAGTTTTGGTCTAATTTTGAGGTTATTCAAGGTGGTGTACCACAAGGCTCAGTACTCTGCAGAGGTGTGTAGTAACGAGTTACATTACATTTACTTGTGTAACATTATTTTGTAACGTGTACTTTTTGAGTACATTTAAAAATGTGTGCTTTTACGCTTTCTCAAGTAAATTATTAGAGAAAAATACTTTTTTTTTCACTACATTTGTTCCTTTGTTACTGTCAAATGTTAATAAAAAATATCCTATGTTTATCATATGTTTTGTTTGTGGTCTCAAGTTCAGTCTGTTTTCACATCAAGTGGTCAACAAGAATAGTTTGATAATACTATGCAAGCTGTACATTAAACTGACATCGCAACATGTACATGAATTCCAGCTCCAACCTGAAAAAAGTAGTGGTAAGTGTCAACATGATCCCAATTTGAACCTTATTAATGGTAATTATGCAGGCCCATAGCCAGGGGGAGTTGGGGGGTTCGAAAAAAAAAAAACACCCCTTCATGACAGGTCTAGAATTGATCCCATACATGAGCTCATTTGTCTTGACTGCTATGTCATCCTAAACAGTGAAAATAATCCATTGAAAAAGTCTTTTAGACCAAGCAAAATGCTATAATAAAATTTATTTGAAAACTAATTTTGCTATTTTTGTTATTCATGAATTTTCTATCAAATTAAATGTACTTTTTTTTTTTTTACAAGAGAAGCTAGAAAATTGGTGAAGCTCTTGTATTATTATTATTATTATTATGTTTAAAATTTATATTATTCAAATAGTCATTTCAGCCAAATTTCAGGCTAAGGCTACAATAGGCTACAGTTTTTATTTTAAAACTTTAACAGATTCTTTTTTTTCCTAATAATTTATGATGTAATAAATTTTGTATTTAAAAAAATATTTATTCATTTTTCTTTATTCTTAATCTTTAGGAAATATTTTGGTTCATTAAATGTGTCATTATGATGACGAACTAACAGGCTAATCCAGCTAAAAATAGTGCTTAAAATGTCACTAAAATACAGTATTTAACTCTCATACATTGTAAATGGGGTGAATAACTGCAAAAAGGTCTAAATTTTGAGAAAAAGAACCACCCCTTATACTAGGTTGACTACAGGCCTGCTATGGGATAACCAAGTAGCTGTTTAATAGAACAGCTGATTATCCCAGTACATATTAGTCATTCACGCTGTTAATCATTAAAAATATAACATTTAAACCTTTTTTTTTGTATTAAATCAGAAAATGGTGATTTTTCAACATATTTCTAAACATAATGGTTTTAATAACTCATTTCTAATAACTGATTTCATTTATGCTTGCCTTGATGTTAGCACATAATATTAGACTTGATATTTTTCAAGACACTGGGATTCAAGATACAGCTTAAAGTGACATTTAAAGGCGTAACTAGGTTATTTAGGTTAAGGTTAGAGTAATCAGCAAAGTCATTAAGGATGGTTTGACAATCAAAAAATACTGTTTAAGGGTATATAATATATATAATATTATAATATATTATATATTATAATATTGACCTTAAAATGGGTTTAAAACTATTAAAAACTCTGTGGATCTTTGCACAAACCCAAATAAACACTAAGCACTAAATACAAAGAAAAAAATCATCAGGCATAACTTTTTAAAATAACTATACAATGGAAAAAAGGTCTGTATGTGTTTTTAAAAATACCAATAAATTCATCTATGTCTACTCCAGCCAATCAGAAAGTTCAGACGCATTCACATTCGCGCTGTTTATAAAAGTAAAAACCTTTGAATATTTTTTCAGACAGATTTAGCTGCTAGATGTTAGTCATATAATGTTTCTATGTTCCTTACTAATGCCAGCTGTGGAAAACATTATCGATAAAATGCTTATGATAAACTGCTGTTTGTTTAAAGGCCATCCTCCAGGAAGTGCCAGCACACACACACATATTATGTCCATCTCAACATGCAAAGTGTTCCTCCTAATGTTTCCATCGAAGTTGTTCACAATACTTATCTATCCACAGAATTTGTAATGTAGTCAAAGGTGTAAATATTTAGCTGCGCTTCGTGCTTCTGCCTTTGGATGTCTCTGGGACAAAAGCAGCTGCATGAACGCTAAAGCTTTAAATAAAAGTGAAACCATCAACAAAAGCCTGTCCCCTTCCATGTTTACAAATACAAGCGCAGCCGTTTATAGGTCATTTCTGGTTAATGATGTCAGGATTTACCGGTATTCTGGAATGGATGTGTAAACGGTCTTTTCCAAAAAAATTCCAGCACGTTCTTGCCAGTGTGAACAGAGCTTTTCTGAATTTACCAGGATGTTTACCGGTATCACTGTGAGAAAGAGGCTAAAGTCACCTGTTGTAAAACCATCTGGTAGTTAACATTCAAAGTTTCCTCTGGTATCACTAACAGTGATATGTGTGTGCAGATGTGATGTTGATGTCAGCTGGATGTTTGTGCTGTGCTTCAGGTGAGTCGTCTGCCGGTGGAGAGCTGTTCTCAGTACAGCAGCTGTAAGACGTGTCTGGGCTCTGGAGATCCTCACTGCGGCTGGTGTGTCCTGCATAACAAGTGAGTCAATGTCATGCCTTTTACAATCACTACAACTGCTGCTCTGTGCACTGCTATGCTGCCTGTGCGCTAGTTCAAGAAGGTTAAACAGCATTGCAAGACATTTACATTTGAAACTGTATGCGTGCAATATGGATTGATCTGAGAAGCTGTTTTCTGTTCTGTGCTTATGCATTTTTTGTTAATAGAAAAGTTTGTGATTGACATGGTTTTAGCCAGTTGCTTTTCTTAGTTTTGTGCCTAGACTAGTGGACTTTGAGGTGGTGCTGACTGGTCGATTGGTTGGGATTGACATCATCATCTGGTGGAGATGATTTGATTGAACAGTAATCTTTGTAGTGCGGGATGAGTCATCAGTTTTTTTGTTTTATTTTCTGAGAAGAGAGAGAATGAATTCATTAAATGCATAGACTACATTTTAAAAGTTTTGCTCACAACGGCTGCATTTATTTCATCAAAAATGTTGTAAAAACAATAAAATTGTGACTTGTTGTTTAGCGTTTTAATGTATTTTAATAATATATCTTTAAGAAATTAAAAAAAAAATTGTTTAATTATTGATGCATCATGTTATGTTATCTGTATAACATAAAGACAACCTATAACTGACCAAAGGCTTTATTTATTGTGAAGATTGTTGTTGTTGTTTGTTTAAAATAACAATGAAAGATACTGTGTTTGAACAAATAAACGCAGACACAAAGCTGCATTTATTTGATCAAAAATGCAGCAAAATCGTGACATATTATATAAATATACATATACAAATATATATATATATACATATACATATATAGTTTACTGTTTTAATACATTTTAAAACATTTATTTCTGTGATACAATACATCATTTTCAGCAGTCTTTATTCAGTATCACTTGATCTTTCAGAAATGATTTATTTTTGTTTAAATCTTGACAAATTCACATTATATTTGTGACAAATGTATAACATAAATACAGAATATATACAGTTGAAGTCAGAATTATTAGCCCCCTTTTGATTTTTTTTCTTCCTTTTTTATATTTCCCAAATGATGTTTAACAGAGCAAGGACATTTTCACAGTGTGTCTGTTAATATTTTTTCTTCTGGAGGAAGTCTTATTTGTTTTATTTTGGCTAGAATAAAAGCAGTTTTACATTTTTTAAAAAACAATTTTAAGACAAAATTATTAGCCCTCTTTAAGCAAAATTTTTTTTTCGATGGTCTACAGAACAAACCATCGTTATACAATAACTTGCCTAATTACCCTAACCTGCCTAGTTCACCTTATTTACCTAGTTAAGCCTTTAAATGTCACTTTAAACTATACAGAAGTGTCTTAAAAAATATCAAATAAAATATTATTTACTGTCATCAAGGCAAAGATAAAATAAATCAGTTATTAGAAATAGGTTTTTAAAACTGTTATGCTTAGAAATGTGCTGAAACGATCTTCCTTTCATTGAACAGAAATTTGGGAAAAAAAATAAACTGGGGGGCTAATAATTCTGACTTCAACTGTATGTGACCAAAAGCTTCAATTATTGTCAAGTTTTTAAATTTGCTTGTTTAAAATAATACTTAGTTTGATCAAATAAATGCAGTGTCACAGAAAACTTGGCATAATATATCAACTAAAAATGACTGTTTACTGTTTTAATGTATTTTAACATCTAATTTATTTCTGATCCAGCTGCTTCTATTCAGTCTTCAGTTTCTCATGATCTTTCAGAAATGATTTATTTTTGTGTAATTCTTGATGAAGTCACGTTATGTTTGTTAAAAAAATTAATCAGTAAAAGTAAAGTAAATATGTGACCAAAGTATTGGGCAGTTTTTAAAATTCTTTGTTTAAATAATTATGCTAAAAAAACTTAGTTTGATCAAATGAAGACTGTACCGAGGCTGCATTTATTTGATCAAAAACGCAGTAAAAACGAGAGGGGTCTGGATGCAGACCTGGTGCTGTGCAATCTGAGCTGCATCCAATGCTTTTTAATAAGCTCACCTAACCCCACCCCTAACCCTACCCGTCACAGTGACATCACTCACTCCATCGAGTGCATTGTGTCTGACAGTACATCGCTGAGTAATGCAACCTCAGCTTGCATCATAAAGGCTGCATCCAGACACTATTGGTAAAAACTGTCAAATTGTGACATGTTATTATAATTTAAAATAATTATTACAATTATCAAATTATTACAACTTAAAATGACTGTTAACTGTTTTAATATATTTTAACATTTAATTTATTTCTGTGATACAGTGCAGAATCTTCAGCAGCTTTAATTCAGTCTTAAGTGCCACATGATCTTTCAGAAATGATTTATTGTTGTGTATTTCTTGATAAAATCACGTCATGTTTGTTTAAAAGTAAAACATAAATACATACACTGTAAAACCCAGCAGTCAACTTTATCAAATGAAATGACTGTAGTCAACTCCAAATTAACTGAAGGTTAATTCTACTCATTTGAAAGGAGTTTTGATCTCAGTGTTGAAGGTAATAAGTTAATTAAATACCTCATTACTTCAACTTAATTAAAGAAAGTTCACAGTACTCATTCACCTTATTCTCCGCAGACGAGCGGGCGCAGCCATTTGAATCTTTTTGGCTCGAGACTTCCGGTCTCATTCACTTCCATTCCTTTTTAGACATTAAAAACTGCTCGTTTCGCTGTTTGATGTTGCCAACTGATATTTTCTTATTACATTATTCTACTTGGTCTGTATAGTCATGCAAACATTTGTTTGTAGAGCAAGTAGACCGTTTTCTATCGTTTTTTATTCCTAGTCATTTCTCCCATAGGCGACTGAATTGGAAGTTCTAAAACAACTGTGAAAACAGGCGCACTTCCGCATTTTAGAATAAGGTCAATAGAATTGGTTTTCTCAAGTAGTTTGACTTGCCTTAACACTTTTGGTTTTACAGTAGTCTGTTGGTTTGAGTTCTCCATTTATCAGGTTTTCCTGTGCTCAAATTGCTTCATTTACTCAAATGGATTAAGTTCACAGTACTCATTAGCTAATCGGTTTCCTTAAAGGGTCACGAAACACCAAAACACATTTTTTGAGCTGTTGACAGTCGTATATGTGTCCCACACTGCTAAAAACAATATTAGGACACCTATATTTCACTAAAAAGTGTAAATCGGGTTTTTTTGCGTTATTTCAAGCTAATTCGTACTTCCGGTTTGAAACTAATTTTTGAAGCTACGTCACGGTCATGACATAATAGTGTTGTATTCCAGCGTGCAGACTGGACGTCTGTACCAGAGTGTGTCTTATTACGTCTTACAGTGTGATGCATTAATGCATGAGTAAGGCTTGGTTCAAACCAATCAGCGCACTCTATTGTGCAACTTCATTAATATTCATTACTGTCACAGTGTTTAGACAACTGAGACGCCACGTTGTGTTGGCAAAACAAGCGTGAAGTATTGCTTTTATAGTTTGCTGCAGTTAAGTTTTGTTTTCATTTTCTCTCTGTGAGAGCTCAGAGTCACGTGTGGATTAACAGTGTACGCGACGCTCGACAACAATAACTTACGTGTCTAAGGAGGAACATTGTTTACCTGAGAGCTGTTCTCATCTGCAAACGCTGAGATCCGGATTCGCTTGTAGTCTCCTCTTCATAAAGACGCGGCTCTAGTTGCTGGTGATTGTCCTGTCTCTACAGATTTGGTAAGTGAGCGACCAGTGCTCTTTGTTTATTCAGTTTGTTCGTATCTAACAAACTATTGCACCGAGTGTAAACACGTAAGCACCACAACCAAACTTTAACCTCGTGTAGGTTTTTTACCGCATTTAGTGACCGGAATAACACACGCGGCTTTCTGACACTACCTGTCGTGTGCATCTAAGTTTCTGGAAAATGCTGAGTTTTTCTCTCATTCGCCATGCGGTATCAAACATTGCATGAAAAATACAGGCTTACAGCAGATCCTCCAATCAAATATCTCGTTTGTCGCGAGGGACATGAATGAATTCCCTGAATGAAAGAGCCAAACTGCAGTTAAAGTCCACCATTCAATAATTTGGCAAATAATTCGACTACAGATGTCCATGTAGGTTAAACACCATCACTTTCTCCTGTGTGTGTGAATTTTGACTCTGAAACTCGAGCGTGCCCAAAGACAATCCCACACCATCCCACTTTTCTTCCTCCCACACTTCCCCCTAAACAGAGCTGGACACGCCCACTTTTCTGACTTTTTTCAAAGTAGAGGTGTGAAAACACCCTGCTGAAACGAGGGGGTTTCATGGCCCTTTAAATGGTTTGAGTTGCCTTAACTTTGTATGTTTTACAGTGTGTTTATGACCAAAAGTGTCAATTATTCTGAAGTTTTTGAGTTTGTTTGTTTAAAATAATAATGATATATATGTGTATGTATATGTGTTTGTAAAACGAAATGTATATTATTTTGAAATTTTCAAGAGTATTATTATGAAATTTTCATGTGCAAATTACAGCACATGCATTTAAAAAAAATAATTGTGTGATATTATAAATGTTTACATAAATTGCATTCTTATTTCTTACATTCTTAATATTATAGAAAATAATATACATTTTTAAATATTATACATTACTATTATATTGAAGTAGTAATTTAAATTCTAAAAAGTACACAATTATTTTTACGGATTTGTTTATCTTTCTTTTTCTGTTTAAATTTAAAAATGGAATTACACCACCAAAAATGTTGTCAGTCATTCTGCTTCCGCTGCAGGCAGACGTCTCTGTATTTTGTTGCTCTCCTCTTGGGATTCACATATGAACTCTTTAAGTCACCTCAGGGAGTTGTGGCGTTCAGCCAGCCAATCAGAGCTCTGCATCGCTGGTGGCTGCCATTTCAACTACCTCATGCAGCACTTGGCAGGTGACAGGCCTCCCCACATGTTCACTAGTCTTTTTTTTTTTTCCCTCCCTTCTTTCCACTCCCGTCATTTCTGCCTCTTACCTCCGGTTGATCCCCAAGCAGCAGCTGGTCATGGGGGCTGTTTCTGCCGTCA